TTTAATGGAAGTTGAGGAGAGGGTCCCGGCATCAGTCTGACCTAGAGATCTTGCTTCACTGGCAGCTCCATGAGGGCAGGGATTCTTGTCTGTTTTGTTTTTGTTATTATATTCCCAGCACCTGCTATAGTATTGGGATACAGTGCTCAAAAAACAAACTGTTGAATGAATAAGATGGAGCCACGGTTTGTGGACAGATGGAGGTGATCAGTGCGTCTTAGTGGTATCAGGTGTCCGCAAAGAGAAGGGCACAGGCTAAGAGCCCTCTTTGGGTATACAGGTGAGTCTTCAGGACTGTGATAAGACACAGAGGAGGATGCCCTAGACTGACTGAGGCAGGATTTCCTGTCAACCTGGGTGTAGGAGACCCTGGGTTAGATCTGACATGATTTAGAAAAATTTAAAAATGATAAGAGCCAACATTTATGATGCACCAGACATTTTTTAAGTAATTAATTTAATCCTCACAATAATCCTGTGACATAGATACGATGATTAACTTTTTTTTTCAAATGAGGAAACTGAGGCATAGACAGGCTAAATGACTTGTCTAAGATCACACAGCCAGGATGTGAACCACCCAGGAACTCTCACTCCAGAGTTTCTTCTATACCAAGTTAAGATGTGAGATTTCTTACCCCTGAGAGTCATGAAGCAAATTCATACTGGTTATACTTGTTTCTTCACTAATTACATAACTTAATATTGTATATACATGTATAATACTATATGTAAAATTTTAGTAATATAATAAAATAATTCTGACAGAACAGATTATGGTTAGAAATAGATAATTTGTTTTCTAGTAATAGAGTATAACAACTTGGAGTGAGCTGTGCCTTGTCTGCCAACCAGGTAATACGTAGCCAGCTCCCTAATTACTAGTACCTGCTACAGATCAGGATAACTCCTGAAAGATAACATTTGTAATGTGCTATACTAGTCCACATTTATACAGTACTTACTATGTACTGGAACTTTATAAGGCAAGTATTATTACGCCTGCTTTAGAGATGAAGGAAGAGCAAGGTTAAGTGATTTGCCAGGGTGACCCCAGGCTGTCTCACTCCACAGCTCATGATTCTAACCACTGCGCCACACAGAATGTTTTTTTCCACATCATGTGGAAAGGTCTGTTTTTCAGTAGAAACATTCATTCTTTAATTATCTGGAAGGGAGTCAATTATTTCAGGAAGAAGTCTTTAACAACCACGTAAAGAACCTTTAGGATATGTGTACACTGTTTACGAATATACAATTATAATAGAACACTGCATATACGTATATGTATATGTAATGTATATGTCTCCCACCCTGTCGGTTTTCACTGGGCAGTGGTCTGTTATCAGTTAAGGATTTGTAACTAGTGCTAATGGATTTGGTTGTTGGAATTTTGTTTTTATAAATCCTCCCTAATGGGTCTTAATTTTACTAAATGCCAGGCTGATGGTCACTGAAAGCAGCTTCCAAATTAGCAAACATTAAAAAATTTCTTTTAATGTTTAAGAGTGCTCCCCACTCTTCCCCTTTGGGGATCCCACTGGTAACCTCCTAGGCAGAGAGAGCCGGTCTTAGCCCTGTGGGTCTCAGCACAGTGTGGTAGTTAAGAACAGAGGCTTTGGGACCAGGCATGTAAGTTGAAGTCCCTGCCTGCTTCTTACCAGCTGTCTAATTTTCAGTGACTTACTCTCCCTCTCTGGGCCTTGGTTCCTTCATCATTTAAATGGGGAAAACATGACTGAGGCTTCTGTGAGTATGCAGCATGCAAATGACAAGTGGGAACAGGATTGGCACTCAATGCCACAGAGCTACTCTACGTGCCCTTTTTTTTTTTTTTTCTGTGGTACGTGGGCCTCTCACTGTTGTGGCCTCTCCCATTGCGGAGCACAGGCTCGGGACGCACAGGCTCGGGACGCACAGGCTCAGCGGCCATGGCTCATGGGCCCAGCCGCTCCGCGTCATGTGGGATCTTCCCGGACCGGGGCACGAACCTGCGTCCCCTGCATCAGCAGGCAGACTCTCAAGCACTGCGCCACCAGGGAAGCCCTCTACGTGCCTTCTTTCTGAGCATCTTCTCTCCTTGCCTTCTGGGTCCTGATTCTTTTTTCCCTGTCCTCTGCCCAGTCCTTCCCTCCATCCATGTGGGCCCAGGGCTCTGAGGTACCCCATCCTACTGCAAAGTCCTCCAAGCTCCTAAATAGCCTCCAATTTCATCCCTCACCTACATGAAATCTCTGTTAGGGCAACTTAGAATCTGAGTAAAGCAATTTGTCCTATGGCAGGCCAGACTCCCACAGAAGCTTCTAAGTTAAACTTGTGCCCTGGGTTACAAAGTCCTGTTTTTTACCTCCAAAACAGCAGTTACAGAGATTCCTTCCTTTCTTGGTCATAGCTACCACCTTACTTTATTTAGGCCCTCATCACCTCCTCCTGGTTCATCTAAAAGCATCTTAGGTAGTCCCCGTCTCGTATACACCATCACATCTTGCTACCTACAGTCCTGACATACCATTGACTTGGCCACACATGTGTAAAAGTTTCTGTATTGCACAAGAGCCATACACGTCAACACGGAGAAGATGAAGGGTCCAGTATGGAAATGCTAAAGGATATTGGTGGTGTGGTGTAGTGAGTGGCTGTGGGCAGGGGGAATTCACATAGGAAATGCTTATCTGCCTAGTGACCAGGGGAATGAATTTAAAAATTTGCATAGGATAGTATTTTACATCTCTTAAATTAGAAGAAAAAATCCCAATAATACTTCATGCTTGCAAAGTATTGATGAAACCAGTTTAGTTGTATAATACTGTTGACATTGAGAAATAGTATTGCCCTTTGGGAAAATAATTTTTCAGTGTGTTTCACAAATATTTATGTCCTTTGACCTGGTAGCCTCACTGTCAGAAATCCAATTTTAGGAAATAACAGAAAAGAAGGAAAGCAAGTGACATGTATGGAGATGATAGTAAAATATAAATAATGACAAGTGAATGTGTAGCTGGTGGGAAGCAGCCGCACGGCACAGGGAGACCAGCTGGGTGCTTTGTGGCCGCCTGGAGGGGTGGGGTAGGGAGGGTGGGAGGGAGGCTCAAGAGGGAGGGGATATGGGGATATCTGTATGTGTATAGCTGATCCACTTTGTTATAGCAGAAACTAACACACCATTGTAAAGCAATTATACTCCAATAAAGATGTTAAAAAAAAAGTGAATGTTTACCAGTAGAGAAGATATAAACAATGGTACATTAATGTTATGCTGGCATAAACATGATAATTATAGGAAACTGTTTACTTTGTAATGCTTGGTAAATCCAACCACAAAATTAGTTACCCTATAAGTATGTATTATAAATACATGCCTACTATGGGAAAGAATGGGAAGAATGTTAAACAAATGAAAGCAACTGACATATGAGGCATATGAATGTAGTCTATTCCTTTCCTTTTAAATATTTTTCTTATTGTTAAAATGCTATGTGTACAATAAGTAAAATTATCAAGGTAAACTGCAAAGACAACTCAAGCATTCCCTTTCTGTTACGGAATGAAGGCGGAACACTTCAGCATGGCTTCTTCACAGCCCATCAGAGCTGGCCCTGCTTCCCCAGCAGGTCGTATTTCCTTCAAGCCCAGTCTCCTGAACAACGCCCCCCACCCCACTCATTTTTGTCCCCTTCACCCCAGCCTTTCTTCCCATGTGTCCTTACCCTGACCACCTCTGATTCTCCAAACATTATCACAGCTTTGTGCTTTGCCCCACTGTTTTCTCCATCTGGAATCCCCTTTTCTTTGGCATTCTGACCCACCTTTCAAGGTCTGACTCAGAAGCTACCTATTCTGCCTCCCTGAGGGTTTCCAACATCATTTTTTGTCTAAATTAATCTTTCCTTTCCTTGTTAGACAGAGGGCTGGAGTCAGAAGTGTGTAGCCCTTTAGGATGTAAGCTTCTGATGGCAGGGGCTAGGTCTTTTATTTTATTTATTTATTAAAAATTTTTTTTATAGGAGGTTCTTATTAGTTATCCATTTTATACATATTAGTGTATATATGTCAGTCCGAATCTCCCAATTCATCACAGGCGCCCCCCCCCCCCCGCCACTTTCCCCGCTTGGTGGCTATACGTTTGTTCTCTACATCTGTGTCTATTTCTGCCCTGCCAACAGGTTTATCTGTACCATTTTTCTAGGTTCCACATATATGTGTTAATATACGATATTTGTTTTTCTCTTTTTGACTTACTTCACTCAGTATGACAGTCTCTAGATCCATACACGTCTCTACAAATGACCCAATTTCGTTCCTTTTTATGGCTGAGTAATATTGCATTGTATATGTACCACATCTTCTAGGGGCTAGGTCTTTTAATCTACAGATTTAGCTGATAATAGGTGTCACATGATTATTCTCTCCTTCAAGCTTGCAAGTCGGCCTGTTCAGGAAGAGCTAACACCTATCAGAGGGGAAGCAAGCAAAGCAGTCAGATGATGATGTATCCAATGGTTTTATTTTGGAGTAATACATATAAAAAGATTAATTGGGGCTTCCCTGGTGGCGCAGTGGTTGAGAGTCTGCCTGCCGATGCAGGGGACGCGGGTTCGTGCCGCAGTCCAGGAAGATCCCACGTGCCGCAGAGTGGCTGGGCCCGTGGGCCATGGCCGCTGGGCCTGCGCGTCTGGAGCCTGTGCTCCGCAACGGGAGAGGCCACAGCGGTGAGAGGCCCGCGTACCGCAAAAAAAAAAAAAAAAAAAAAAAGATTAATTGATTTGTAATTTCTTCAGGATGCAACTTGCTGGCCAAATTGCTACTGATTTTATTAAACAATGGTATTTTGTATTTAAATGACCTTTAGTTTTAAATAAAATAAGGCTATTAGTTACGATCTGAGTTTCCGTGGACTCTGTGCCAGTAGTTGTAGGACTTTAAGAATGAGACAAACCATGCCTAATGTCTAGTAGCTCATCATGGACTCATTTCCTATTTATCTCATTTTGTTTCTCAAGAGAACCCTGAGTTTCCTCAACAGCTTTTAGGAATGCATCTCACCTTGAACGTGGGATTTTGTTGAATTTGAGAAAAATGAAAACTGGAGGAAAACTCAGGTATGGTACATTCATTCACTCAGTCAATCATTTATTCAGTAAATATTTTTGAGTATCTTCTGCTTGCCTGGGTCTGCTCTAGGCTAGGAATACAGTGGTGAGCTACCACCACAGAGCTTACTGTGTTGAGGGAAATAGACAATAAACAAGTAGACGAATGACAAATGATATTTGCTACAGAAGAGGGCACTGGGATAGACAGTGGCTGATGAGGGAGGGAGTCACAGGGCAACACGTCTGCCATGCTACTCAGTGGGGCTGCACTGAAACCACGCCTTAGCTTAGCTTCTCCTGCCTCGTCCTGCTTCTGCCCCTTCATTGCAGGCTTCTCACTCACTTGCACAAGGACCCTTGTCTCCAGCTCTGCTTCTGGAAGTGATGATCACGAGCCTCAGAACTCCCTGGAGTCAGGGACTGTGCCTTTCTTGTTCACTTTTAGATGGAAGGTTTAAGTGGGAGGCTGATGTGATCTGACTATTTCAGAAAGTTCTCTGACGGTTGCTTGTGCGTGTTGGTGAGGAGGAGGGGAGGGTGAGGTCGGAGGCAGATGGATCAGTTGGAGGCTACTGTAGTAATCCAGGCAAGACAGGACTATGGCTTGGATTATATAAATTAAAGCATCTCTATTAAGCAAAGGTTTTCATCCACAATTACACTTACAAGACTCCCCTTCCATCAAGAAATTTGTAGGTGACCTTAGGCAGATGAATGTTAATAAAAGAATAATGCATTATGGTACATAATGGGAGGAATATATAAAAGATTAAATGCTTGTTAACACTCTGAATCCATATATGAGCATTTAGTACAGAAATAATAAGACGGAAATGTGTAGTTGGTCTTTAGCTTAATTGCTGGAGTTAGTTACAGGTCCTTGGGCTGGGGGGACTGTAATTTCTAAGATCTGTTTGACTGGGATAAAAGTGACAATTTGAAAATGACTCTTGTTCTTTCCACTTTGGGCTGGTAACTGCATTTGGTTTGCGTCTATTTCTTGGAGGCAGTGGCGACTTATGTTCCTTTGTTGAATGCTCCTCAAATTCCTCTCTTCCTGTTAGTCCCTAACTCGGAATGTAATAATAATCAGCCTCTGAATACCTTAACAAATGCATCACATGATGGATATAAGGATAGGTAAACTAAGGCTACACAGCTTAGGAAACATGATAACCGAGAAGAAGAAAAATGCTTTAAAGGATTATCCTTCCATGCAAATATTTATATATTCAAAGAGCTGAACAGAAGGCAGCAGAATAACCAAAAAGGCAGTAGTTATTTTGTCTGGTTGTGCGGACTTTGAGGAAGTGAAATCTCTTTTGCAAATGTGCAGTAGTATTTGCTCTTTAGAGAAAATTGTGTCAGATGATTCAACAGCAGGCCTGAGGAAGGGCAGAGAGGAGGCATCAGATGCTCTGCTTTTCCCTCTTAAAGCTGAGCCAGGCGGGGGGGTGGGGGGTGGGCAGGTCAGCAACTCAGGCCAGTGAGTGGAGGAGCACTCCTGAGACTCACTGTGGAACACTCAGCTGAACTCCACTGTGGAGGACAGAGGCCCCATTGCCTCTCCCTGCCGTGTGGGGCCATCCTGAGAGCCACCTGCTGCTCTCCTCCATCCCTAAGACTGCCAGACCAGAACCACTGTTAACGGCATCTCTGCATAGGAAGAGCTCTTTTCCAGAGTTACAACCCCAAAAGGATACACAGGTCGGCAATGGAGGGCATGGAGATGATGGCCCCATACTCTCAGGCCAGCCTGGGACATCATCTGAATTCTGTTATGTGGATTTTTGATCGTGAGGGGAATTACAGATGTTTGGAGTACATTAAAGCCTATGGCTTCACATTTTACACCCATCTGTCTATTCATTTGCTCACCATGGAGACTGCACATGATGTGTTGGGTGAGTACTATTTCTCAGTCTTCAGAGACCAGGATGAATGAGGAGAGGTCCCACCGGCCAGGAACTCAGTCTTTACAAAATTTAGAATCATTAGAGAGCCTTTTAAAAACACAGTCCCTGGGCTCCCACACAGGAGAATTGGATTAGAAGCTCTGTGGGTAGGGTACTGACATTTTTTTTTTTTTTTTTTTTTACAAAGCTCCCAAGTGGTTTCCTTTATGTAGCTAAGTATGAGAACTTAATTTGTTCTAGGGAGATACATTGAGTTTGATTTCGATCTAACGTTGGGTTTGGTCTAGACAGATGCAGTGCATCCTTGGGGAACTACAATCCCTGTCCTCAGTGGTTTCCAGTTAAGGGGTTATAGCCTAGATCCTGAAAACTATCCCAGAGGTTCTCAACAGGGAATGATTTTGTTTCCACGTCTTCCTGTGGAGACATTAGAGACCGTGTCTTGGAGACATTTTCGGTTGACAAAACTTGTGAGGAGGGTGCTACTGACACCTAGTAGGTAGAGGCCAGGGATGTTGCTAAATATCCTCTAATGCACAGGACAGTGCCCACAGCAAAGAATTATCTGGCCCCAAATGTCAACAGTGCTGAGGTTGAAAAAGGCTGGTTTTGTCTTAAGGGTAGTTTCTGCTTGTGAAACCAACATGGCATATAGTTTCCATTAGCTAGCATTATGCACTAACTGTGTTCTAGCTACATTATGTGTTAATAAACATTGATTGTCATTTATTAGGTACTATTGTTTGTCCCCACCGTACAGATAAGAAAACTGAGCCCCAGAGATGAAATAACTTATCTAAAGCCACCTATCTAGTAAATGAAGGACTTGGGATTTGCACATGTGTAGTCAGGTTTCCAGCCATAACAGTACGCTGCTGCCCAACAGGTTTTATTTTTCTTCTCCTGAGAGTTTTTCCAGGCAGAAAAGGGGTACATACATACTTGCGTTAGTTCTTCTTAGGATTGTTGCTTGAGAAAAACAAGACTACTTTTCCTAGGCAAAAGATAGCCGCTCTGAGCCAAGAGATTAATGGACGTTGGTCATTTTTGTGCCAGCTGGGGCCACGAAAGTGCTGAGAGGAATCCCCGAAGAGGACACTGATTGATGCTTTCAATACCGATGGATTCCAGCAGCGTTTGGCAGCTCCTGGACCTCCTGCAGCACAGTTTGGGGTAGTGCCTGACCAGCCAGACTGTGTTTGTGACAGCTCTGGTCTTCTTAACTCTGAGCATCTGTTGAAATGATGCCTCAGCAGGAAAACACAGTGGGAGAATGTCTGCTCAGAGCATGTGAGCGTCTGATTGGCCTCTCAGGCGTCCTCTAGAAAGCCCCAGTGTCCCCACATTACCTTTGCTCGCTGGCCCTGTGCTCTCTGCAGGCGGAGGAAATGAAACAGAACCCCAGTAGAGGTCAGCTGCTGTCTCTAGTGTCCCTACCTGTGGTCACCACACTAGGGTGAGGGGTTTCAGCCAGTTGTGCATCTACTGCTGAGCCTCATTGTCTCTCTTAGCACAGATTTAGGCCAGGAGGCTTTTGAGGGTTGGAGTAGCATCTGCCTTATCCAAGGGGCTCCTGCAGGCCAGCAGGTTAAGTAATTTGAGACAGGTTAATAAAGCCACATATTAGTAAGTGGAGAGTGTGAGCCGGCATGCTCCTGGCCATGACACTATAAACTGCTACACAACACGTTCTGTTTTCTTCTTATGGGAGTTTTTCCAGGTAGAAAAACGGGCCAACTTACGGCATGACTGTCAAATGTGCACAAGATGGTGATTTTTGGAGGAAAGAACAAACAGACTTATGCTGTTGTTAGAGGCCCTGGCCCAGCTTTAGACAGGGTGGTGATGCTGGGGGAATGTTCCCCCCACACCCCTCCCCTCTAAGGTTGCCCCTCCCTCCTTGGTATTCTCCTCTGTGGGCACATTTTGTGCACTTCTGGGCTCCATCTCTATGAAGGAATCTTGAAATGAAGTTCACAGCAGGGAATTGAGGTTCATGGAGGACACTGACTTCGTATGTTACCATTTTTTGTAGAGATTTTCCATTTTTGTTAAGAGCACAGGCTGTTGCAAAGAATTTACAGTCTCTAGTATTGGCTGGGCTATTGGGTCTACTGTTCAGCTCTCTCTCCTCCCATCTCCCACAGAATTTTTCTCAAACCTTTTTAAAGAAAATTTTTTCAGGCTGCCTTCTACCTCAGAGGGTGATTCTGCTTCCGATTTATAGAGACGTTGATGCTTTTAATATTAATTTCCTCAACTTTTTTTCCTGTTGGTGGTCATTAGTGCTATTTACCAAATAGCTCCATTTTTTTGTCTCCTTTCAAACACGTGGCAGGATTATTCAGCACTTCCTGGCCCCTTTTGTGGTGGGGTGGGTGATGTGACTAATTGTTGACAGTGAGTTGTAAGTAGAAACAATGTGTGTCAGTTCCAGGTGAAAGCATTTAATTGCTGATGTGAGACTCTCCAGGGCTGGATTTCCCTTTGGCAGGGTGGAAACATTTGAGATGGTGGCATTTCTATCAGCCTGGGTTCCTGAGTGAATTCCTCTGAATTCTGTTGCAAGATGGAAATAGGATGAGCAATAAATAAACGTTTTTGTGTGTGTGTGTGTGTTAAAAGCCAATACAACTTTGGTTTTGCTTGTTAACGCAGCATAACTTCACCTGTCTTGATTAATAGTCTGTCCCTTTTGCTCAACAATATTGCTGCATCCATACCGACCCTTTTTTTTTTTTTTTTTTTTCCGGTACGCAGGCCTCTCACTATTGTGCCCTCTCCTGTTGCGGAGCACAGGCTCCGGACGCGCAGGCTCAGCGGCCATGGCTCATGGGCCCAGCCGCTCCGCGGCATGTGGTATCTTCCTGGACCAGGGCACGAACCCGTGTCCCCTGCATCGGCAGGCGGACTCTCAACCACTGCGCCACCAGGGAAGCCCCATACCCACCCTTTTTGCTTTTCAGCCTTTCTCAGAGGCTTTCTATCCTGAGAAAACCACCCCTGATTAAATTCCTCTGATGGCTTCCTAGTGTTCCTTAAAAAAGAACAAAACCAAAATCCTTCAGCATGGTCTGCAAGCCT